ATTATTTGTTTATCTTCTTCTTCTTCTTTTTAATACGCTTTTATTAGCTTCAGACGTATGTATTTATATATGTTTGTAACGGAATATTTGAACATGATTTAACCCCGGATTAACTCGAAATTTGGTATACTTATTAAGGCCCGATGACAATTCAATTTTAAAAAATAAATTTGAAAAAAATATTGAACAAATTGAAATTCAGCTAAAAAATGAAAAATAAATAATAGTTTAAAAAAACTAACAAAATATGCATTTATAGAAAATCCAACTAAAAAACAGAAAATAAATTTTAATAAATTTGAATTAAAAATAGTGTAAGGAAAAATGATTTTATTGTAAAAAAAAAGCGTGGCGTGCATGGTATCAGTAGTTCTAAATCGTCATGATAATCGCCTTATCGTAGCCGCCGCTGACTACTCCCCGAATCCTGATCATGCAGGAGTCAGTCACCGTCGACGCCCTAGACACGTCCTTACGGATCCATCAGATCCAATAACCTTTGGATTAGACGCCTTCAGCTCTAACACTAGGAGCAGGCTTAGGGACCCCGGTAACCGTACTCGTCGAACTCGACAAAGAGTTCGCCGTGCAACCTAACCCATGCATCAGCCCGCTGAGTTTCTCGCCGGATCTTCTCAGTGGGTCGCGATTCCGATCCGGTAGTAGATTCATTCGCGAAGCAATTGCTCTTGAGTTGTTAGGTCTCCTTCGGAGGCGCTCGGGCAGTTGTTAGCAAATCCCACCCCTCCTGGCTGAGCCTTTGCTCGCCCACCTGTCCTGGTGAAGCTGGAAAGGCCTCCGGGCCACCAGTAATCTTAAAAAAAAAAAGTTCTAAATATTTTATGAACAGATATGCGTAGAAGGGTTATTTTGATAATCTCCTGAAAAGCACCTCACGCTTTTCTTATGGTGACAAACCTCTTCATCAAAAAAGAAATCGTTTTTGCTACTTTTTTTTAATTTTATTTTTTATTGCTTAGATGGGTGGACGAGCTCACAGCCCACCTGGTGTTAGGTGGTTACAAGAACCCATAGACATCTACAACGTAAATGCGCCACCCACGTTGAGATATAAGTTCTAAGGTCTCAAGTATAGTTACTTACCACCAAACTCTTAATTATCCTTCCTGTCTCCATATTTTTGGTAACGAATATGTTATAGATAAAACACTAGATAGATACTTACTAGAAAAATAAGCTTGCTTAGGAAGAAGTTCCGAACAAGAAAATTTGAACTTTTAGGAATTCCAAGCACCGGTCATCGTTCTCGTCGAACCTGTCGAATGGGACGAAGGGCTCGTCGTGAAAATTAACCCTCAGACACAGTCCACTGAGTTTCTCGACGGATCTTCTCAGTGGGTCGCGATTCCGATCCGGTGGTAGATGCATTCCCGAAGCAGCTGACCTTGAACTGTTAGGTCTCCTTCGGAGGCGCTCGAGCAACTATTAGCAAATCCCACTCTTCCTGGCTGGCCCTTTTACTCACTCACCTATCCTGGTGAAATCGGAAAGCCTTTCGGACCACCAGTAATCCTTCCTTCTTAAAAAAATATTCTCACAGAGTCCGACCACAACTTGATGTTGAATACGCTTACTACGAGTATGCCAATGATTCACTGACCCACAGATGAGGGTGGAAAAGAAGCAGAGAGCAGTACCGACAACCCTGATCAGTCTGCCGGAGGTGGCTCGCCCTTTTCCTGGTCAGGGAACTCATCGAAACCTAAACATTCTCATTTCTCAAAGAAATTAGGCAAGAAGAAACAATCGCCAGGTATTTGTAATTGAATCTTTGTTTATCTTCTTCTTCTTCTTTTTAATACGCGTTTATTTGCTTCAGACGTACATGTAACGGAATCTTTGAACATGATTTTGACCCCTTTCAAAACGTCGGATTAACTCGAAATTTGGTATACTTATTAAGGACCGACGACAATTTAATATTAAAAAACAAATTTGAAAAAATTGAAATTCAACTAAAAAAGAAAAATAAATAATAGTTTAAAACAACTAACAAAATACGCATTTATAGAAAATCCAAGTAAAAAATAGAAAATAATGCTGCTGATGTCCATAAGCGGCGGTGACCACTTTCCCTCAGGTGGGCCATATGTGTTTTGGTGCGGGCTGTATGGGCCGGTTGCTGTGATAAAGAAAACTTGTGCTTTTTGCTGCAATACAGTTTATTTGTTTGTTTATACACTTGATATTTTATTAATACGATAAACACGTCCGCTTGCGGTGAAAATTATAAAAAAGGAAGAGAGTGACATCAACAATGTTGCCAGTTATATAATTTTATTTTCCATACTAAAAAGTTGGTGTTGCCAACTGTATGCTGGTCTGCCTACAAAGGCAATAAAAAAAGTTTTACTCAACTGATGATATTCCTTCTTTTTTTCTTCGTCCTCTTAATGCGAAAACATTACAGATTCCTCTTAATGCGGAAACATTACAGATGAGGGTGAAAAGGAAGCAGAGAGCAGTACCGACAACCCTGATCAGTCTGCAGGAGGTGGCTCGCCCTTTTCCTGGTCAGGGAACTCATCGAAATCTAAACATTCTCATTTCTCAAAGAAATTAGGCAAGAAGAAACAATCGCCAGGTATTTCTAATTGAATCTTTGTTTATTTTCTTCTTCTTCTTTTTTTCTCCACCTTAACCCACTAGGTGGGGTCGGTACAGCTAATTTTTCTCTTCCATTCTCTTGTATCAGTCGTCAGCTCAAAACTCACTCCTCTCTCTCTCATACTGTCATTCACACACTCCATCCATGTCTTCTTCGGTCGAACTCTTCCTCCTCTCGATTCCAATAAAAAAAATCGATTCGGCCATTTTAAATTCAAAAAGGCAGATTTTTACTAAATACAAATAAAGACCGATATTTTTAGTAAATAAACCGTTTAAGAAAATTTTGTTTGACGGACTTCATCTCCGAAACGACTGGGCCGATTTTGACGGGACTTCAACTGACCAAGAGCTGGTGTTGCAAGGGGTAGCATGAACAACTGTTATTCATGGAAAAATAATTAGGACTACACACAATAAAAAGGGGCTTGATCGATATTTAACGTTTAGGAAAACAATAAAAATCACAACTAACTCTTTGATTATTTTTCTATTTTGAAACAGAAACCACGGATGAGAGCGGAAACGAAGCAGAGAGCACTACCAGCAACCCTGATGAGTCTTCAGGAGGCGGCTCGTCCTCCTCATCATCGAGCAACTCTTCGAAATCTAAACTAACCGCCTTTAAAGAGAAATTTACCCACAAGAAAGAATCGACTGGTACTTTCTTGCTTAATATTTGTTAAGACCTTTTTTTCACCCTAGCGTGTAGGTGAGCTCACGGGGCTCAAACCGGGAGGTTTTGAAGTCGTCGTGGCCTAAAGGATAAGACGTCCAGTGAACTCGTATGTAGCGATGTACCGGTGTTCGAATCCCGCAGGCGGGTACCAATTTTTCTAATGAAATACGTACTTCACATATACGTTCACGATTGACTTCCACGGTGAAGGAATAACATCGTGCAATAAAAATCAAACCCGCAAAACTATAATTTGCGTAATTACTGGTGGTAGGACCTCTTGTGAGTCCGCAGGGGTACCTACCCGCCACCGCCCTGCCTATTTCAGCCGTGAAGCAGTAATGCGTTTCAGTTTGTAGGGCTGGGCAGTCATTGTAACTATACTGAGACCTTAGAACTTATATCTCAAGGTGCGGGGCCCATGTACGTTGTGGATGTCTATGGGCTCTAGTAACCACTTAACACCAGGTGGGCTGTGACCTCTTCCATTCATCTAAGCAATAAAAATAAATAAATAAAAAGTGTTGCTAGCACTGGCCCTAGCAAGAGCAGTACTTCGCAGAATCTACTACCACCGGCTCGGAAACGCGACCCACTGAGAAGATCCGGCGAGAAACTCAGTGGGCTATAAAATATTAAATACAATGTAATGTACTTAGAATCTATTTTAAAGTATAAACATTAAAGGTGTCCAAATGTGAATAGCACGCGGTAGACAATTTTTTAAGCATACCCTATGTTTAAAAAACTGTCTACGCCTTTACTAGCTCGGTATGTCTGTCTGTATGTATGTTTGTTTTCGTCACGTCACTATCATCGACTTCAAGACGTCTTTATTGCCTTGAAAATTTGCGCGGCCATCAAGGACCGATAATGATATAAAATAATAATTTTATAACTCCGCTCTAATATCCTGATCAGTATCGAGAGGAAAACCCCCTTAATATTATTATTATATATTAAAATTAGCTTGCTTCAAACGTACCTATTACTGCTTCGCTGTTAAAATACACAATAAAAGTTAACTCAAATTTGTATGGAGTTGGAACAGCACCCCTAGCGGCAAACATAGGAAACTGTTACAGTGAAGCTTAAAAAAACTCGCACTAAGCTTTTTTTTCCTTCGATGGGTGGACGAGCTCACAGCCCATATGGTGTTAAGTGGTTACTGGAGCCCATAGACATCTACAACGTAAATGCGCCACCTACTTTGAGATATAAGTTCTAAGGTCTCAGTATAGTTACAAAACAAAAGCACACCAAACCCCCTCGCATGCCGCTTTACCGTCAGAAGGGCTAACTGTTCGATTTCATTTCAGAAAGCTCCGGTGACGCGTCATCGAATAAAGAAAAAGTATTAACGCTTTTCAATAAACTCGGAAGTTTACTTAAGAAGATATTTGCTTCGAATTAAATCAATTATTTTTCAAATAATTCAATTTAACAATAAACTATACGACAGCATACCTTGGATTTTTTAACTTACTGCCAGTAACATAGTATCCCTGATAGATTCCCTTCATCCTTCAAGATCTCTATTCCGCTACCAGTCCAAAGTATATTCTTGAACTTGATAGATCAAGGTTCTTTGGAACTGTCGAGTTATTAAAGATTTCAAACTGATGGTAAGACCTCTTGTGAGTCCGCACGGGTAGGTACCACCGCCCCGCCTATTTCGGCCGTGAAGCAGTAATGCGTTTCGGTTTGAAGGGCGGGGCAGCCGTTGTAACTATACTGAGACCTTAGAACTTATATCTCAAGGTGTGTGGCGCATTTACTTTGTATATGTCAATGGGCTCCAGTAACCACTTAACACCAGGTGGGCTGTGAGCTCGTCCACCCATCTAAGCAATAAAAAAATGCAATAAAGTAATACACAATTATAGCCAAAAAAGAAAATTGACTTCGACGACCTTTCCTTATTATTTGAAATGCGTTAATAACTCAATTATGTAATAATACATCTTGCTAAGACCTTTTTATGTCATTTAAAAATAATTGTCAAAAGAACTTGTTAATCTAATGTTAAGCCATCATCGGGGCCCATAGACCACTTCCAAACTTTAACATATCTCTTTTGAACAAGCTTTAATAAAAATTTAATACATTTTGTTTTGACACATAAAAAGTCAGTTCATATTGACGTAAAAAATCGGCAATGACTGACGCTTTTCTATAAAATTATACAAAAATAATTATATTTGAAAAAAAAATTATAAAATGAAATTAAAATATAAACAGAATAAAAGTCGAATGTTTCCTGCGCAACATGGTTTTTGGGTGAGCTCATTTAATTAGAAGATTGCACAAAGTGGGAATGAGTTGCTCGCTCCGGGCATTTCAATATTGTAGTAATTGTTATGTTATAATACTCATGTAAAAATGAATATTTAAAAAAAATTAATATTAAAAAAATATCTAATGTATAAAAAAAAAAAGACATGCCCGCTGAGTTTCTTGCCAATTCTTTTTAGGACGGAGGCCAGTTCTTGTGAATTGGCGGTAGTTCTTTTGACGTTCAATAAGTATGTACTTTCATTTATGTTGAATAATTTTTGATTTGATTTGATTTGGTACCGTTTCCTTATTTATTAATACGCTTTTATTAGCTTCAGACGTATGTATGTATGTTTGTAACGGAATCTTTGAACATGATTTTGACCCCCTTCAAAACGTCGGATTACCTCGAAATTTGGTATACTTATTAAGGACCGATGACAATACAATATTTAAAAAAAATTGAAATTCAACTAAGAAATGAAAAACATATAATAGTTTAAAAAAAAACTAACAAAATACGCTTTAATAGAAAATCCAATTAAAAAATAGAAAATCAATTTTAATAAATTTTAATTAAAAATAGTGTAAGAAAAAAATATTTTATTGTAAATAAAGCGTGAGGTGCATGGTATCAGTAGTTCTAAATATTTTATGAACAGATATGAGTAGAAGGGTTATGTTGATAATATCCTGAAAAAGCACCCCACGCCTTTTTACAAAAAAAAAAAATTTTCTTACACTATTTTTAATCCAAATTTATTAAAATTTATTTTCTATTTTTTTACTTGGATTTTCTATAAAAACGTATTTTGTTAGTTTTTTTAAACTATTATTTATTTTTACGACTAACGGCTATGTACCATTTTCTTATAAATATTTATAACTACTGATACCATGCACCCTATGCTTTTTTTACAACAAAATCATTTTTTTCTTACACCATTTTTAATTCAAATTTATTTTCTATTTTTTTAGTTGGTTTTTCTATAAAAGCGTATTTTGCTAGTTTTTTTTCTTAAACTATTATTTATTTTTACGACTAACGGCTCTGTACCATTTTCTGTTCCGTGAGCAATTCCCGAAGGCGTACTCTTCGTATTTCAGGCTCCTCTTAGCGACGGGCGCATCGCTGACGGCCAGCGTCCTGGTACTCCAAGTTGCCGTGCTGCCCCTGATGTTCCGATACAATAAAACGGTCCAGAGGAAAGTGGTATTCTCTAATTGCAGTTAGTACTTTGGACGTCATCAAAGTAGAGTTACAAAGCGAAGCCATTCTCATTTCTATCGCGATGTAGAAACGAAAATGGTTTTATTTTGGAACGTAGCAAAAAAACGTCCGTAACGTAAGATTTTATTAGTAATGCACACAGTGTACGACTTAGCTTTGTAATGACGTACAAAAAATAACATATTTTTTTATCATTCATTGACCACGATCTCAGAGCGTTCGTTTGCGCAATACACTAACTCTTATGCAAACAACCGTGAATGAAGTGTACCACAATAAGTTCGCACGTTACCGAATGACCGTGGGTTGTTGCGAAACCTCCAGTTTCATTTTCTTTATACCTCGAATACAACTTAAAATTAATATTTTTATAATAAGGAGCTTCGTTCCTATCCGGTGTCCCACGACACTACACATCTTCTTTTATTTTTGTTGCTTGGATGGTTGGACGAGCTCAAGGCCCGCCTGGTGTTAAGTGGTTACCGGAGCCCATAGACATCTACAACCTTGAGATATAAGTTCTAAGGTCACAGTATAGTCACAATAGCTGCCTCGCCCTTCAAACCGAAACGCAATACTGCTTCACGGCAGAAATAGGCAGGGTGGTGGCGGGTAGGTACCCTTGTGGACTCACAAGAGGTCCTACCACCAGTAATTATGCAAATTATAATTTTCCGGGTTTGATTTTTTATTACACGATGTTATTCCTTCACCGTAGAAGTCAATCGTGAACATTTGTAGAGTACGTATTTCATTACAAAAATTGGTACCCGTCTGCGGGATTCGAACACCGGTGCATCGCTACATACGAATGCACCGGACGTCTTATCCTTTAGGCCACGACGTCTTCTTTTCGTTCTTGTTTACTTTTACTACATACTTCGATAAGGCTATGCGTCATGATAATCGCCTTATCGTTGCCACCGCTGATTACTCCCCGAATCCTGATCACGCAGGAGCAAGTCACCGTCGTCGCCCTAGACACGTCCTTACGGATCCATCAGATTCAATAACTCTTGCATTAGATACTTTCAGCTCTAACACTAGGAGCAGGCCGAGGAACCCCGGTAACCGTACTCGTCGAACTCGACAAAGAGGTCGACGTGCAACCTAACCCATGCATCAGCCCGCTGAGTTTCTCGCCGGATCTTCTCAGTGGGTCGCGATTCCGATCCGGTAGTAGGTTCATTCGCGAAGCAATTGCTCTTGAGTTGTTAGGTCTCCTTCGGAGGCGCTCAGGCAGTTGTTAGCAAATCCCACCCCTCCTGGCTGAGCCTTTGCTCGCCCACCTGTCCTGGTGAAGCTGGAAAGGCCTCCGGGCCACCAGTAATCTTTCAATCATAAAAAAAAAAACTTTTACTACATAGTTTTAGTACTTTATTTTTACTAGATTTTCTTGTATATATCGTAAGCGCGTTCTCACCGGATTCGCGGGATTCTGTCATTGCAGCAAATACGAATTACGCCTGATTCTGGTTCCAGTAAACTTTCCGAGAAACTTGAACTACGATAGCCCGTCTAGTTGCAGCGTTACAGGCGGGAGAAACCTCAACATTGAGTTCCAGTCGATCGTGGACAATTGTCTAATCAGATTAGGTAATTTTACGAAGGTTAAATTTTCGATAAAATAAAAATGTTTGAGTACACAGTTGCGGCGCAATTAAAAACAAAATTATATTCATTTATTAGCGACCCGCCCTCGCTTCGCTTCGGAAATATTAAATTTTATTATTGATAGCTGAGTCCCGCGATGTTACCCGCGGTTATTGTCATACCGCAAGTGACGCCGCGAGGCGAAGCTAGTCTAAAAAAGTAACCTAAGTTACTCATTATATCATCAGTTACCTATCAGTGAAAGTCTCGTCAAAATCGGTCCTGCCATTCCAGAGATTAGCCAGAACAAACAGACAGACAGACAGACAGGCAGACAGACAGACACAAAAATTGTAAAAAATGTTATTTTGGTGTATGTACCGTATATATATTTGACGGCGTTAACAACATCTCTAATAAACATCACGTGCAACAGGCGTGACTCACACAAGCCGGGTGCGCCGGCCGTGTCGTTCCACTCGTGCAACAGAAGTGACTCATAAGCCAGCTGCGCCGGCTAGTATAAAAAGGCGGTGCGTGCCTTGCAAGAAACATTCGTTGGACTGCGTTTGCCCGGTGCACTTACTATATCCTTGTTACGTNTATTTTTTTATCATTCATTGACCACGATCTCAGAGCGTTCGTTTGCGCAATACACTAACTCTTATGCAAACAACCGTGAATGAAGTGTACCACAATAAGTTCGCACGTTACCGAATGACCGTGGGTTGTTGCGAAACCTCCAGTTTTATTTTCTTTATACCTCGAATAGAACTTAAAATTAATATTTTTATAATAAGGAGCTTCGTTCCTATCCGGTGTCCCACGACACTACACATCTTCTTTTATTTTTGTTGCTTGGATGGTTGGACGAGCTCACGGCCCGCCTGGTGTTAAGTGGTTACCGGAGCCCATAGACATCTACAACCTTAAGATATAAGTTCTAAGGTCTCAGTATAGTCACAACCGCTGCCTCACCCTTCAAACCGAAACGCATTACTGTTTCACGGCAGAAATATGGTTGTACCTACCCGTGCGGACTTACAAAAGATCTTACCACCAGTAATTATTCAAATTATAATTTTCCGGGTTTGGTTTTTTATTACACGATGTTATTCCTTCACCGTAGCAGTCAATCGTGAACATTTGTTAAGTACGTATTTCATTAGAAAAATTTGTACCCGCCTGCGGGATTCGAACACCGGTGCATCGCTCAACACGAATGCACCGGACGTCTTATCCTTTAGGCCACGACGACTTCTTTTCTTTCTTGTTTACTTTTACTACATACTTCGATAAGGCTATGCGTCATGATAATCGCCTTATCGTTGCCGCCGCTGATTACTCCCCGAATCCTGATCACGCAGGAGCAAGTCACCGTCGTCGCCCTAGACACGTCCTTGCGGATCCATCAGATCCAATAACTCTTGCATTAGATACCTTCAGCTCTAACCTCTAGGAGCAGGCCGAGGAACCCCGGTAACCGTACTCGTCGAACTCGACAAAGAGGTCGACGTGCAACCTAACCCATGCATCAGCCCGCTGAGTTTCTCGCCGGATCTTCTCAGTGGGTCGCGATTCCGATCCGGTAGTAGGTTCATTCGCGAAGCAATTGCTCTTGAGTTGTTAGGTCTCCTTCGGAGGCGCTCAGGCAGTTGTTAGCAAATCCCACCCCTCCTGGCTGAGCCTTTGCTCGCCCACCTGTCCTGGTGAAGCTGGAAAGGCCTCCGGGCCAGTAATCTTTCGATCATACAAAAAAAAAAAAAAAACTTTTACTACATAGTTTTAGTACTTTATTTTTACTAGATTTTCTTGTATATATCGTAAGCGCGTTCTCACCGGATTCGCGGGATTCTGTCATTGCAGCAAATACGAATTACGCCTGATTCTGGTTTCAGTAAACTTTCCGAGAAACTTGAACTACGATAGCCCGTCTAGTTGCAGCGTTACAGGCGGGAGAAACCTCAACATTGAGTTCCGTTCGATCGTGGACAATTGTCTCATCAGATTAGGTAATTTTACGAAGGTTGAATTTTCGATAAAATAAAAATGTTTGAGTACACAGCTGCAGCGGATTTAAAAACAAAATTATATTCATTTATAATTGGAATCACGCTCTTACTGACTACGCAATGAATTTGAACGCAACACTAATAAAAGTACAGGATACTGATTGTAGACATTTAAGAGAGAAAAAAAAAAAGAAAAACATATATAATAGTAGATTTCGTAATCACTACATAGTATATAACAAAGTCGCTTTCTCTGTCCCTATATCCCTATGTATGCTTAAATCTTTAAAACTACGCAACGGATTTTGATGCGGTTTTTTTTAATAGATAGAGTGATTGAAGAGGAAGGTTTACATGTATAATAACATCAATTAAATAGTGGAGAAATCAATAATAAATTACAGTTTCCGAAGCGAAGCGAGGGCGGGTCGCTAATTGCATTATAAGGTAACAGATTCCAAATCGATTAGATTCGAAATACGCGGATGATTGGAGAATTTCCACAATCTAACTTTTCTTATGGTTTTAAAATCCCCCTTCCTGACGTGAACTCTCTTTAGTTATTTAGATTGGGTGAGGATTGAGATGCGGAGATAATTGAATAGCAGAATGTAGTGTAACATTAAAATTGCATTCGAGATATTTCTCAAACCATGCGATATATCCTTGTTGAAATAATGTTTGTAATTACCGCCTAGTGAATGTGTTTGACCTACGGCGCGGAAACCTGGACACTGACGGCAGGGCTGGCCCATAAGTTAAGAGTCGCACAGCGGGCGATGGAGAGAGCTATGCTCGGTATTTCTCTAAGGGACAAAATCCGGAACAAAGAAATTCGACGGAGTACCAAAGTCGACGACATAGCTCTCAAAGTTAGCAGGCTGAAGTGGCAATGGGCCGGTTACATCTGTCGAGCCAGCGATGCCAGGTGGGGGAGGAAAGTCCTCGAATGGAGGCCACGGATGGGTACAAGGAGCGTGGGGCGTCCTCCAACCAGGTGGACTGACGACTTAGTGCGCACGGCGGGAAGTCTTTGGATGCGGAAGGCGGAGGACCGCATTATGTGCAAGGCATTGGGGAATGCCTATGTCCAGCAGTGTGCAGATAAAGGCTGATGATGATGATGATGATGATGATGAATGTGTTTGTAATTTTATTCAATAAATTTTTCAGTTAATTAGTTTATTTGTACCAAAAAGAGCACTGTAGTAGCTTTATGTAGCTTTGAATTGGATAAGAGTGATAGGCGAATTATTAGGTAGAAATAGAAAAAAGCTTATAGGTTTTATTGGCATTTGAAGTTAGAAACTTTGACGTTGGTATTGTTTGTGACCATGAGTAAAACGACTCACTGACGGTAGGCAATAACCATGACAATCTTCGAAGATAAATAAAAGTATATGTTGCAAATGATGTGACAAAAAAACCAGCAGCGTAACGACAAGTTTTTTTATTTGTGCGAGAAAGCAGAAAGCAGGTAGAAATGGCTGGCATGGCTTCTTTTATTAACACGATCCCCCCTTCGTTGGCTTTGGCTAGCGGCAGTGGCGGAAGGGGGCGTGCTAACATGGCTTGGCGGCTTGGCTGGCGGCAGGGCATGACAGCTGACGTCACGTCCGTTACATATAGTTTCAAACGAAAGCCCAAACTGTTATGACGTTTTTTTCTTATTATTGAATTCTTTTCTTTTTCTCTCAAAGGAATCTGGCATATACTGCCGAACTCTGAAATTAAGGATGTCGCTGATCTGAAAACCAATAATACCTTTCATGAGCTTAAGAATAGCAGGAATCCTGTCATACTGTATTGTCATGGTTAGTCAATTATTGCTTTTGGTGTGACCAAATAATAATGGGGTAGATTCATTTACCCTTGCCATTGACAATTGAAGTCTTGCAATACCTCTACCACCAATACAGACTTTTTTATTGCCTTAATGGGTGGACGAGCTCGCAGCCCACCTGGTGTTAAGTATTACTGGAGCCCATAGAGATCTATGACGTAAATGCACCACCCACCTTGAGATATAAGTTCTAAGGTCTCAAGTAAAGTTACAACGGCTGCCCCGCCCTTCAAACCGGAACGCATTACTGCTTCACGGCAGAAATAGGCAGGGTGGTGGTACCTACCCGCGCGGACTCACTAGACAAATGCCGCCACCTACCGCGAGACATGAGTTGTAAGGGTCTCACTTTTACCAGTACAAGGGCTGCCCCGCCCTTCAAGCGGAAACGCATTACTGCTTCTCTGCCGAAATAGGCTTTGTGTTTTGATATCGTTACTATTTCAAGGCTCAATGCTAGCTCATAGTTTGAACAGTGGTGGATTTACACTAGGGTCAGTCGGGGCAAGTGCCCAGGGCGGTAATTTTTTTAGGGCGGAATTTTTTTTAAAGTAAATTTTTTTTTAGTCTTATCAAGATTGCTCAACATGATTAATTAGTTCTGATAATTAATAATTTTCTGTTTAATTGATAATTCAACAAATTCAATTCATCTATTATTTGTGAATTATAACTTTGGCACTTTCGGTAAAAAAATATAATCGAAACGATTTAATCAATTAATTTCATTGGACATTTAAAATAATAATCGATTTTTCCATTTTCTGGAATCAAAGAAATTTAATTAGTTTTTTTTTATGTAATATAATTATTAGTCAGCCTTAGTGCAATGTTTATAAATTGTTAGAAAAAAAAACAAATATTTATTTATGTTGTTGGAATACATAACATATGATAAATTTTCTGCAATAAATTAGTTATTTTATTTTTGAAAAATCCGTTGAACAAGCAATTCTTGTATATTAATATATGTATATAATCTGAATCTCGGCAACGGCTTCAACGATTTTCATAAAATTTACTTTTTACTACGATACGATTTACGATTACGATTACGATTTATTTTCAGAAAATGTTGTTTTATTCGTGTTTTCAATAATCAACTCTTCCCGACATCTATTGGCGAATAATAATACTATTTTTCTTAATTGAGGGCAACTGACCGCTTTAAAGACACAACAAGATGGCGTTATCAAAAAAAAAACCGAGCAAAGCTCGGTCATTAGCTCGGCTAGTAAAATATTTAGACTATAAGTTTAGATAAAATTCCAGTATTGGGGTGGATTTTTTTCTGGGGTCGGTTTGAAACTTGTATTTTTCGAAGGTAACTCAAACCACCGCGCTTCCCCACACCGCTTGAAGATATACAGCGTGTTCCAGGAGCTAAATTTCCACGTTGTCACTTTTGATTACAGAGGTAGGATTTTTGTTTTTTTTTTAGTTAATACGTATGTATGTTCAGACGTATGTATGTTAATATGTGACGGAATCTTTGAACATGATTTCGATCCCCTTCAAAACGTCGGATTAACTCGAAATTTGGTATACTTATTATGGACCGATGACAATTTAAATTAAAAAAAAAACTGAAAAAAGAAATTTGAAATTCAGCTAAAAAATTAAAAATAATGAATAGTTTAAAAATACTAACATAATACGCTTTTATAGAAAATACAATAAAAAAAAAAAAAAAAAAATTAATAAATTCGAATTAAAAATAGTGTAAGAAAAAATGAATTTATTGTAAAAAAAAGCGTGGGGTGCTTTTCAGAATATTATCAAAATAACCCTTCTACTTATATCTGTTCATAAAATATTTATAACTACTGATACCATGCACCCCGCGATTTTCTGTAAAAGCGTATTTTGTTATTATAATTGAAGGATTAATTTCCAACAGCTCTTGATTTTTTCTTACTCAATCGTTGGTAGCCTAAGAGGCTATTCCAATAAGGCGCGGAATTACTAACCCTACTAGCCCTAGCAAGAGCAGTACTTCGCTAAATCTACCACCGGATCGGAATCGCGACCCAATGAGAAGATCAGGCGAGAAACTCAGTGGGCTGAGGTTCTCTGACTATTCGTTAATCTAATATTTTTAGTGGATCTCTTTATCTTCGGCAATTTTTAATGCATCATGTATATTCCAACCGGTAACTGATGCCATCATCTTTGAACATTCAGTAGGTCTAATGGTTAGTTAATTTAGTTCAGGGGTTCCCAAACTTACTTTGTCTACTGCCCACTTTGAGAATAAATTACCTTTAGCGCCCCTAATTTGTCACATACTTAAAAAACCACTATAGCGTGAGCTTAGTCGGTGTCTAAGAGTGATGATGAATTTACAAATCGCCTCCCAAGCCTCTACACAACGTCCTATTTTTTTTCAGGGTTTCTTACCGCCCTCCTTGAGGCCTGCAGCGCCCACAAGGGGGCGTTATTGCCCACTTTGAGAAAGGCTCATTTAGTTGATCATTAAGACTACGTTCAGGGCTTATACAATAGGGTTTTCTTTGTTAAGGTTACGGAGATTCAACGAAGGTGAAGCCAACAGAACGAGGCGTGGTCGAGGACTTGTTCCACGTGTACTCGTGGCTCCTGAAGACCCTGGATCTCGAGGAGGAATCCACGGTTTTCGTTTGGGGACATTCGTTGGGTAATGTTTGTGTTTGACGTCATTATTGAGCATTAAGTAAGCTGCAGTAAATCTATACTTATATTATGAAGAGGAAAGATTTGTTTGTTTGTTTGTATTGAATAGGCTCTGAAACTACTAATTAATCATGTTTATAATTAAACTTATATGGCCAGGTAAAGAGAGTTTATTACGTAATATATAACTAATAATATAACTTGTTTGAGCTAGTTGTTATTATAATTGAGACGGTGCAATTAGTATTCTCTCTGGCGCTACACCGACAGACGGACCACCGACCCGGGGCGCCTTGCCGTCCAATCACTCTGAAGGCCTCGTAAATAATGCCATAGTTGATACGTTATTTAAGAAACAATGCCGTTACCGCCCGGATTTGTGTTAGAGTGACAACAACGTCAGCTGTCAGCTGTCAGTAGTAGTTCTATTTTTCCAATTTTAAATGCAACGGTATCATAACATACAGCCTAATCTTGTATTTTTTTCTTAATTTTATTTGTATTTGAATAATTTGGAACATTAATCATGAGCTGAAATTAAATGAAATGAGATGAGATGATATGGGATGAAATTTAATCTTAGTAAAATGGTGGTTATTGATTGAAACTTTTCAGTGGACTTTTCGGAGGATACCGAGAAGCTACGTCCGGCGGCTTTGTTTCATTTTCCTACAATTGTGAACCTTCACAGAGACTAAACAGTTAATAAATCACCGTTATTATACATTTAAACCACTGACTGAAGAAATACTATAAAGACAAAATAAAACAAATCACACAACTTCGCTTCTCGTGTTCCCGCCAAAAAGTCGCCTCACCGCTGCCACTAAATTTTTTATTTTTTTTTATGTCATCTATACTAATATTATAAAGCTGAAGAGCTTGTTTGTTTGAGTGCGCTAATCTCAGGAACTACTGGTCCAATTTGAAAAATTATTTCAGTGTTAGATAGCCCATTTATTGAGAAAAGTTATAGGCTATATAACATCACGCTAAGACTAATGCAAGCGGAGCACTAATAAAGAATGTTTCAAAATCAGGGTAATTTTTACCTTTTGAGAGCTTCCGCTGCGTGCGCTGCAGAAACGGTTAAAGTTTCACTAAAATAATGTATGACAGAATTGTTCCCCTTTAAAAGATCTAAAAAAAGTCCGCGACAGCATATGTCTATATGTTAAGGTTGGCTCACTATAACGTTTTTTATGCTAACCAAATTTGTTCTAAAATAAACTATTCCACGCGGACTAAGTCGCGGGCAAAAGCTAGTGTATCATAAAAAACGTGGGTACTTTGAAATGTCCAACATTTTAATGCCTTTTTGTGTTTTTTCTACAGGAACTGCTGTCGCGGCAAATTTCGTGTCCAACTTGGAAGAGCTGTGTCAAGAGAGAGGCTCAGAGAAACTGAGGCTTCCTGATGCGCTGGTCTTGGAGGCTCCCTTCAATAATTTGAAGGACGAAATCGCCAAACATCCTCTATCGAAAGTAGTAGAAATAATCGTTTTTTATTATTATTACCTATTAGATACTAGCTGACCCGGCACACTTCGTAGTGCCTCAATCGAGAAATAAAAGACCTACACTTTTGTATAAAATAAACTTAAAACAAAGAATAGGAATCCGTCCGACGGGGGACACATCACAGGGAAAACAAAATGGTTATTTTTATTTAATTCCATTTTCATATTTTTATCTACCTTTTAAACCTTCTCTGGACTTCCACGAATAATTCAAGACCAAAATTAGCCAAATCGGTCCAGCCGTTCTCGAGTTTTAGCGAGACTAACGAACAGCAATTCATTTATATATATATAGATATAGAAGAAGATAGAATATCATTTTATGAACCCATTGTACGGTCCATTGACTTGACAACGTGAATATGCTCTTAGGAAGAGATGATACCGTCAGAGACCATCTACCAGAGCAGAGCTTAGAACCATCTCAGACACTTCAATTACAATGCGTTTTTTTTTATTGCCCGTGTAGACAGACGAGCATATTGCCCACCTGATGGTGAATGGTTACCGTCGCCCATGGACTTCAGCAATGCCAGGGGCAGAGCCAAGCCCCTGCCTACCGTAAACTTTCCAGATATCTTTTCTGCCACGTACCGTCTATTTTTTTTATTACTTAGATCAGTGGACGAGCGACAGCCCACCTGGTGTTAAATGATAACCGGAGCCCACAAGCATCTACAAAGTAAATGCGCCACCCACCTTAAGAAATAAGTTCTAAGGTCTTAAGTATAGTTACAACGGCTGCCCCACCCTTCAAACCGAAACGCATTACTGCTTCACGACAGAAATAGGCAGGGCGGTGGTACCTACCCGCGCGGACTCACAAGAGCTCCTACCACCAGTTAGTGCGGTTACAATAACCATTAATACCATTACAATTAAACCCTATTTCCCTTGACATGTTATGAAAAGGAACCTTTTCTCTCGCTCAGCTGGTTTCCTGGCTGCCCTACTTCAAGAATACGTTCGTAAAACCGTTCACCGATTCTCCAGATTATTCGTTCACGACTGATGAGTATCTCGCCGTGGTTCCGGACCTTCCGATTTTGATGCTACATTCGAAAGGGGACAGAGTCGTTCCCTATGAGTTGGCGGTTAAGGTGTATACATTTTTTGAAGAGAAACTTCTTTAGAATCGTTGTGATTTCAAACGCGATGAAACGAAATGAAACGAAACGAAAAAATAAGTCTGCCGCGATTGGCTTGCCGAAGCGGCTCCGGGCGGCGCCGACAAATCACGAAGCGCTCCACACGGTCTCGCGTCTCTCCACACTTCTACCGTGTGTGACTTGCACATACACACACTTTCTTTTTTTATTGCATAGATGGGTGGACGAACTCACGACTCACCTGGTGTCAAGGAGCTACCGGAGCCCACAAACATCTACAACGTAAATGCTGCCAACTAGCTTGAGATATAGGTTCTAAAGGTCTCAGTATAGTTACAACGGCTGCCGCACCCTTCAAACCGAAACGCATTACTGCTTCACGGCAGAAATAGGCAGAGCAGTGGTACCTACCCGTGCGGACTCGCAATAGGTCCTACCACCAGTAATTACGCAAATTACAATTTTGCGGGTTTGATTTTTACTACACGATGTTATTCCTTCGCCGTGGAAGTCAATCGTGAACATTTGTTAAGTACGTACGTATTTCATTAGAAAAATTGGTACCCGCCTGCGGGATTCGAACACCGTTGCTACATGCGAATGCACCGAACGTCTTATCCTTTAGGCCACGACGACTTCAACATACTTGCATTCCATGGTTTTTTTTTCTTACGTAGACTAGACTATTAAAAATGTCGTTCAAGGCTTTCGGCAGTCCGGGGTGATATGACCTATTAACACCAGGAAGCTCTTCAAATGTGTTCTTTTAAAATCGTTGATTAATAAAAAGTAGTATCAAGACGTAGAGAACAAATGATTTGGTAATTAACGCTAAAAGAAAATATAAAAGTTTTTGTATCAGAGTGTCATCTATCGACAACCTTATGAACTATTATGAGTTCAAAACAATGTTTTTTAAACTTAGTTTTCATTAATCATTCTAGATGTCGCTTTAAGAATTTGAATTTATAATTTGCTTTTGAAATTTTAATATTGATTTTTAATATTCATGAATCCTATCGTACTTATAAATGATAACAGTTACAGAACAAATTGGTACAGTCCAGAAAATCTTCGAGCGCTCCGTTTACTTTTCAAACTTTTGAAAGGGAACACAGCATTGGTCACAATAATCTGTGTGAAGCAAAACATTTTAAATCAGCAATCACGTATGTATTTTTCTTTGTAATATTTACACTGAATTATCTTAAACACATATAAGTAGCATGTAACAGTTTTGTTCGTTCATTAACCGACGTAAATTTAATCACAACTTATTAGTTCTATTTATTATGATGTGTTTTTTAAAACGTTTCATAGATGGCACTGTTATAAAAAATGCATTGAAAGTATAATAACTAATTAGTTTAATATGAGTCGACTATTATCAAAGCCGGCAATGTGACTTTTTGACAATTATTGGTAAATCAGAAAAACGAATTATTGACTTTGTATTCCATTGGCAGTCACAAAACTCTTCGGAACGACATCTTAGATAAATAACAGGTTAAGTATTAACCTTTATTTAATGCAGGTTTTGAACCGTATTCTTTGAAGGAGACGATTATATTCAAATCAATCTGTATTGACATATCAATAACATTTTTTTGTCCAAATGCACAGATTGCCACCTTTGATAATAGACGACTCATATATGAGTCGACTATTATCAAAGGCGGCAATCTGACTTTTGGACAATGATTGGTAAATCAGAAAAACGAATTATTGACTTTGTATTCCATTGGCAGTCACAAAACTCTTCGGAACGACATCTTAGATAAATAACAGGTTAAGTATTAACCTTTATTTAATGCAGGTTTTGAACCGTATTCTTTGAAGGAGACGATTATATTCAAATCAATCTGTATTGACATATCAATAACATTTTTTTGTCCAAATGCACAGATTGCCACCTTTGATATTAGACGACTCATATACTGCTATGTGACCTCTTGTGAGTCCACACGGGTAGGTACCACCATCTTGCCTATTTCTGCCGTGAAGCAGTAATGCGTTTCGGTTTGCAGGGTGGGGCAGCCGTTGTAACTATATGAAACCTAGAACTTATATCTCAAGGTGGGTGGCGCTTTTACGTTGTAGATGTCTATGGGCTCCAGTAACGACTTAACACCAGGTGGGCTATGAGCTCGTTCACCCATCTAAGAAATAAATAAAAAAAAGAAACACCATCTGTGCTTCGACGATGGGTGGTGCCATGTTAAAAAAATGGCAGATTTTAAAGCCTTAAAGGACTACAATCTAGGTCATTAAATAAAAGAAAAAAAATACTCGTACCTATCTTTAATTATTTTCCAAGTTTATGTTTGCCCTCTCGGGGATGAATTCCTATTCTCAATAAGACCGTAAATTAATTCGGAAGCCTCAAAGTCATATAATACCTGTCTCATTTGCTAAGCTAAGAACCACGGAAGCTATAAATTCTTATCGAGATAGTTTTGGATTAATCTAAAATTTATTTAACAGGGATTTCCTACGGCTCATAGAAGAAAGAAAAAAAAACTAAACAAGACTAACAGTGTTGCCAACAAATACAAACAAATAATAAAGGGATTACCGATTAAAAAAAAAAAATATTGTAATCGAAATGTAACTTTTCACGCATTTTAATTTAAACTGATACAAATTGCGGGTAATATTTTAAAAGACGGTCCGTATAGAGAGATGCTTGCGCGCCATAAATCGTTTAGTGTTTTTTTTTTTAAATGTCTGGGCGCACGGTAGCTACTCGGCGCGGTAAAAAAAATATGATTTATCTATGGCACGACCTTAGCACAGGAGTTTGAAACATTTTTGATGATAATCTTTTAGCGTTTTATTTCCAGTTTTATATACATACTAGCTGACCCGGCAGACTTCGTAGTGCCTCAATCGTTAAATAAAAGACCTAAACTTTTGTATAAAATAAAGTTAAAACAAACAAAAGGAATCCGTCCGACGGGGGACACATCAAAGGGAAAACAAAATTATTTTTGTTTACTTACGAGCATTTTTTTTTGCTTAGATGGTTGGACGAGCTCACAGCCCACCTGGTGTTAAGTGGTTACTGGAGCCCATGGACATCCACAACGTAAATGCGCCACCCACCTTGAGATATAAGTTCTAAGGTCTCAGTATAGTTACAACGGCTGCCCTACCCTTCAAGCCGAAACGCATTACTGCTTCACAGCAGAAATAGGCAGGGTGGTGGTACCCACCCGCGCGTACTCACAAGAGGTCCTACCACCAGTAAATTTTCATATTTATCTACCTTTTAAACCTTCTCTGGAGTTCCACAAATAATTCAAGACCAAAATTAGCCAAATCGGTCCAGCCGTTCTCGAGTTTTAGCGAGACTAACGAACAGCAATTCATTTTTATATATATATAGATAGATTAGTTGTAAAATATGTCCTGTCGAATAGCGCGATCAAATGTCGGCAAGTCGATACTGATGCATACCTGATCATATAGACCGAATGGTAAACAGTCGACGTCGCCCTTAACAAGTCATTACGGGTCCTCCCGATCCACTAACGGTGCTTTTAGGTACCACAAGCACCAGTCATCGTTCTCGTCGGACCCATCGCTTGCGACGAAGGACTCGGCGAGTAAATGACCCCACAGATACAGTTTCTCGCCGGATCTTCTCATTGGGTCGCGTTTCCGACCCGGTGGTAGATACTGCGAAGCGCTGCTCTCGCTAGGGCTAGTGTTAGCAAATTCTTTCAGGTTGAGCTTGTGAGCTCATCTACCGGTCTGGGCATAGCAGTAATAGCCCCTTCAGCTAACTGCGAATAGGTAAAAGAAAAAGAGGTCAATGTAACGTGACGAGCTTACGATAATTCCAGTAACGCGAATCACCAAAGGTATATTACTGGTGGTAGGACCTCTTGTGAGTCCGCACGGGTAGGTACCACCACCCTGCCTATTTCAGCCGTGAAGCAGTAATGCGTTTCGGTTTGAAGGGTGGGGCAGCTGTTGTAACTATACTGAGACCTTAAAACTTATATCTCAAGGTGGGTGGCGCATTTACGTTGTAGATGTCAATGGGCTCCAGTAACCACTTAACACCAGGTGGGCTGTGAGCTCGTCCAACCATCTAAGCAAAAAAAAAAAAACCAGTAACGCGAAAGCTGCGGGTGCGTCACCTCTGCTAATTAAAACGAGTGTGAATCAAATCTTTACACGGCCTTACGTTCGATTTCGTACAATGGAGCGGAAGCGCTTTGTTGGGCTTCCGACGTTCCCTGACCTCTGGCGGGTGCTTTTGTTACTCGAAAGCTATGCAGGAATTGGTTTCGATCGAGAAACTACGCATTCTGTAAAGAAGCTAAAAGATCTTCTAAGGATTATATAGTAACTAGGTTTTGCGTGGCTTCGAGGAGTCAAAAAGAAGAAGAAAAAAGAACCGTTCGGATTGCCGATAATCCTATTCTCACGGATCGCTTGAAACTCCTGGGTCTGCGGAGGGACTTCGGTTCCCTCTGTATTTTGTACCGTATGTTCCATGGTGGGTGCTCTGAGGAATTGTTTGAGATAATACCATTATCTCGTTTTTAACATCGCACCGCCCGCCACCGGAGTAGAGTTTGTCCATACTACCTGGAGCCACTGCGTTCATCCACAGTGCGTTTCCAGAGATCTTTTTTGCCACGTACCATCCGACTATGGAATGAGCTCCCCTCCACGGTGTTTCCCGAGCGCTATGACATGTCCTTCTTCAAACGAGGCTTGTGGAGAGTATTAAGCGGTAGGCGGCGGCTTGGCTCTGCCCCTGGCATTGCTGACGTCCATGGGCGACGGTAACCACTCATCATCAGGTGGGTCGTATGATCGTCTGTCTATACGGCAATCAAGAAAAAAAAAGAGGTATAATTGTAGTTCCTCATACGAATAAGATTTAAGCCACTGAGTTTTTATATTTTTTTATTGCTTAGATGTATGGAGGAGCTCACATCCCACCTGATGTTAAGTGGTTAGTGGAGCCCATAGACATCTACAACGTAAAGGCGCCACCCACCTCGAGATATAAGTTCTAAGGTCTCAGTATAGTTACAACGGCTACTCCACCCTTCGAACCGAAACGCATTACTGCTACACGGCGGAAATAGGCGGGGTGGTGGTACCTACCCGTGCGGACTCCCAAGAGGTCCTACCACTAAGTTTCCCGCCGGATCTTCTCAGTGGGTCGCGATTCCGATCCGGTGGTAGATTCAGCGAAGCAATGCCACTTGCTAGGGGCTAATGTTAGACCAGGTATTAAATTTTAACCGTAAACTCCCAATAGGATACAGTATTTCTTGATTGTAATAGTCTGGCTTAGTCACAAAGCTAACAATGTAATGCATATTATTTAGTAGGTACATTATTCTTTGGACTGATGATGGTCAATGGTCACCGTCGCTTAGGGGCACTGTCGAAGCGCATATACAATTATTCGAGTTCATCTCCACTTCTAGTACTAGATTCATTTATTTTTCGTCATTAGAGGTCATTTTTGCGACAAGCCGTCTGACTCTGGTAGCTTACTGGTGGTAGGACCTCTTGGGTAGGTACCACCACCCTGCCTATTTCTGCCGTGAAGCAGTAATGCGTTTCGGTTTGAAGGGTGGGGCAGCCGTAACTATACTCAGACCTTAAACTCATATCTCAAGGTGGGTGGCGGCATTTACGTTGTAGATGTCTATGGGCTCCAGTAATAACTCAACACCAGGTGGGCTTTGAGCTCGTCCGCCCATCTAAGCAATAAAAAACAACGCAGTGGAACAGCTCTTAGCACTGTCAACGCCCAAGAACGATCATGTGGCCAATACAATGTGAAAGATAATTATCTCAAATTAACTCTATAGCACACTTAACGAACGAATCTCGGAAGCTAAACAAACAGCATGCGACTCGAGTGCCCATCGACCGCACGCCGGGCCCCTGCAAGGGAAGCGTGAAATGGGCCCACGAGCTCTCGACGTAGCCGGGCCACGCAATCTGACCACATGCCCATTTCTAAACTGAAAACAGTAGATTTCGTTTATTCATTACTGGCAACCCCGCCGCGAGGAATTGGCGCGAGATATAGCGTCATAGGGACGAACGCCGCATCGAAATGTCGATATAAGTATATTTTTATTTTATTTTATTTTTATTGCTTAGTTGGGTGGACGAACTCACAGCCGACCTGGTGTTAAGTGGTTACTGGAGCCCATGGACATCTACAACGTAAATACGCCAACCACATTGAGATATAAGTTCTAAGGTCTCAAGTATAGTCACGACGGCTGCCCCACCCTTCAAATCAAAACGCATTACTGCCTCACGGCAGAAATAAGCAAGGTACCTACCCGCGCGGACTCACAAGAGGTCTTACCACCAGTAATTAGGCAAATTATAATTTTGCGGATTTGATTTTATTACACGATGTTATTCCTTCACCGTGGAAGTCAATCGTGAACATTTGTTTAGTAGGTACGTATTTCATTAGAAAAATTGGTACCCGCCTGCGGGATTCGAACACCGGTGCATCGCTCAACACGAATGCACCGGATGTTTTATCCTTTAGGCCACGACGACTTACTAATACAATGTTGTGCAGTGTGGGTAGTTTGATTTTGTTTGTTTGTTTTATTATATAATCTCAAACAATCTCATAACAAAAAAAAAACTTAGGTTATTTAAATGAAGTAAACTTAATTGAAGTTCAATTAAAAACATCGAACTGTTGATGCTGACACCAAATAAAACGCATCTTTAATTACAAAGATAAATGTCGCTTGTTAAGCGATATGTCGCTTAAGCCAAATAACGTTTTACCCTTCGATGTATAGACTCAGAATGCAGACTTGTCTGTTTGTGTCCTTAAATTTGTTGTATGTTCCATGGGGAGTGCTCTGAGGAATTGTTCGAGATGATACCGGCATATCGTTCGTACCATCGCACCGCCCGCCACCGGAGTAGAGTTCATCCATACTACCTGGAGCCACTGCGGTCATCCACAGTGCGTTTGCAGAGGTCTTTTTTGCCACGTACCATCCGGCTATGGAATGAGCTCCCCTCCGCGGTGTTTCCCGAGCGCTATGACATATCCTTCTTCAAACGAGGCTTGTTGAGAGTAATAAGCGGTAGGCAGCGGCTTGGCTCTGCCCCTGGCATTGCTTAAGTTCATGGGCGACGGTAACCACTCACCATCAGGTGGGCCGTGTGCTCGTCTGCTTACAAGGGCAATAAAAACAATATTCAAACTTACGTATATATATAAGCCGATCAAGATGTTTGTGTAATAAAAATGTCAGCATTCTAAATCCAATCGCAATCAGATCTGTGATTTTAATCCATCATAACAAAAAGGTCAATTCCAATACCTATAGCAATCTTCTTTATCTATATATATACAAAAATGAATTGCTGTTCGTTAGTCTCGCTAAAACTCGAGAACGGCTGGACCGATTTGTCTAATTTTGGTCTTGAATTATTTGTCGTACTCCAGAGAAGGTTTAAAAGGTAGATAAATATAAAAATCCTCGGAATTATACA